CGAAACTAAGTAATTTTACAAGTGTCAATAAGAGATTAAAGTAATATCGTTTTATCGTTTTGCTTTGCCAAAACACAAGAACCCACAATAAAAAAGAAAAATACCCGTTCTAACCCACAGTATAAAAGCTTCAAAATATTGTCAAAAATGGATATTAATATCTTTAGTATTATTTATACAGATTAACTATACAATCTTTATTGAGTCGAAGTTCATCAATTAAATCCTTAGACCATAATCGTGTATCAAAAGATAGTGCAGTGATTCAAACAGTAACCACCATCGACATGTAACCACTAACCCTGAGAGCCCATTCCGGCGTGTTCCGGCTCTACCACAAAGACCCAATCAGAGAAGAGCACAAGACTGATTGTTGGATTAGTATCTTGGGGGGGGGAATCGGTCTACTAAGTAGCCTCAGTAGATCACGGTGCTAGGATTGACCATGTTGTGCTTGTTTACTAAACTGAGTCAAAATAATCTGCTGTCAAGTTTAACTATTTGTTTATTGTACAATATCAGGCTAAAGAATGCTTTACTTTTGACATCCTTTTGATATTAGTTATATTTACTAAATTTAAGGAGCACGTTTTTGGAAAATCCTTTCCAATCAGTAAGTAGGTGTACTAAAAAGATAATCAATTTATAAGCAGTTTAACTTTCGTAATTCTTTGAAAACAAAAAAAGTTTTGTACTGTTTACATCTTCAATTTTCTTCGATCGGTTCCATTTAACTTGGCTAATAATTACGAACAGCTGATACAGTTATTTTCACGCTTTATGTAAAAGGTAATAATCTACCAACACATGGAAATTAAAAAATACAATGTTTCTTATATCGTAAATATCTGGTGACAACAATGGGGTTTTTATCGTAGGAACATTTTTTTAGAATAATAAATACAACATACTTATGTAATAACAATACAATCATACATAAAGTTTTAATGGGGACTCTATTCACAACAGATACACGATACAGTATATACAACACAATACACTTTTTTTAAATTGGATATATTTTATAAAATCATAAAATAGTGCTAATTTTCACGTCTCTAGCATTACTCATCTAGCAGATTCTTTTGTTAAGGGAAGAACAGAACTACTTTGAATCTCAGAGCATGAATTGAAAGAAAAAACTCGTTTTAGGTGCAGGATAACAAACAGGTTTTGATTGCCTTGTTAAAAATCAGTTTGAGTTAGCCCTAATAGAATGCTTAGATTAAAATTTAGGAACTATGGGGAAAAAGCTTAAATAGTTTTAATATTAAATCACACTTGTAATATGAGATTGGTATGACATGTTGTTTCAGTTAAATAACTGAAGTAAAAAAAAATAAAATAAAAAAACTACAACAATTTACTGAAAAAGTTAAAAATAGAGCAATAACAAGATGTCAGTCCTTCGACGAAGTTAATTATACCTTTTGTAAGACATAAAATACTTAAATTATTTATCAAAGAATTTTAATAACCAAACTTAGATGCTTCAAGATATATTTTAGGAATTATTAAAGTAAAATAGGTAAAATTACAGAATACATTTTATATTTGCTTCTTTGTTAAATGAATTCCTTATGTTCAAATACAATAATGTTAGTATTAAATTGTTTCTTTGAATGGTATTTACGTTAACTATTACAAATATTTGGCGAAATTCTTGGAATAAAGAATAAGGAAACTAAGTGATTTAAAGAGACGATAATTTAAATAATAATTGAGATGGTTTAATGACCTTATCACTACTGAAAGCGACGTTGTTTATAATGTATATAGGAACATTTTGTAATTTAATTGTTTTATGCTAGCAACATAATGTTTATAATTGTGCCAACGCCAACGTAATTCCAAAAACAATTAGACCAAGAGATAACATTAAAGGAGAACTTCAAATATTTTGTATTAACAGAACAAATATTATTACGTTAGTCAACATTTAAAGTGTTTGCATTTCCCGTAGAACTTTCCACAAGGGATACATAGTAGGAAGATGTGATGAGGGTTTATATCTATAAACCGCAAAGTGTTGGTGTTTATGGTTAAATATTGACATTTCTAACCTCTGTCTACTCCTAACCACCCCTTGTTAAATGGAAATATGGTTTCTGAGAACATTATATTTTAGATAATGGCATTTAAACAAGATAATAGCTGAGCTAAAGAAATGAGTCTGAAAGTATTTATAATTACCATGCAAAGATGGAAGAAAATTGTTTAAACATACCATAGGTGTGTATCATATTAATTTAGACGTGATGATTGTCATGTCATCAAAGTTATTGGAACACCCTTTAGGATGTTTTTCTGTGAATTTATTAAAGGTTTAGGCATGGGTCTTGGTTTGTAGACCTTCAGGGTTTTTATCTTTGGTTAAATATACATACCTGAAATCTCTCTATTCTAAACCAACGCCTACTGATATTATAGATTTTTCGGTAAAACTAACATTTTTGTAAAATCTATATTATTGGTTTAATTTGATGTTTTTACAATAAAGCCATAACAAATATACTTGCTAATGGGTAGATATTTCTTTTTGATTCTAATCTATTTCTATTCCTACTTTTATAGTCAGTATTTTTTTTAATTTTACTGTTTTTAAGTTGATCAAAATATTTTAAAAATATGTATTTAAGGTTACCATATTAATGTGGTTCACAAATATATCTATATTTAAAAATCTTTGAACCGCTATTCAGTCAAGCTATTTAACACAATTAAAAGAGTTAGTATGCAAATTTATGGGAACTATTTTAATTGCTTTGTTGTTTATCAATAGTCCACATAGTTAACCCAATCAATACGTCATATCAGGTTGTTTGACATCAAAGGTAAGTCTTGTATATAATGTATGGAATGTATTGATATTTCCAATAACCTCACTATACATTAAAGCTATTTATTGAAATAATTAAACTATTTTATAAACTAAGTAAAAAAAAACACTAGTTTAAAATATGAAATTGAAATTTCGTGTCTTTATAATAATAACTTTTTTGTATATTTAACGTCTTGTGAGTAACAGTATAAGCTTAAATATATGCTTTAAGTGTTAGAAGACGTATCTTTCATTTACTTTCCGTAATATTAATAACAATTATATATTTTATTTACTTAAACACTAATGTTATCATCTGTGCTGTGATTACAAATTTAATTTTTTAGTATAACCAAATCTTCTGAATAACAATTACTATTGAGTTTTGGTTGTATGGTGTTATATCTTTTACATTATAAATGATAACTTTTGTTTTTGGTTGGTTTTTACAACGTATTAGAGTGCATAATTTTGCCTGATTTAAATTATCAGAAAAATCTTCCATCAATGTAGAATGGACAAGTAAGTTATAACCACCTAATGTTAGGGATCAAAAGTTATCTAGAGAGATGGATGGCCACGACGTTAAATTACAACTGAAGCCACAGCTCCTGTTTTATCGATAGTTAGCTAACTAGTTCCTCTAACCTTTCTATGTATACTTCAATGCTTTATACGGCCTAAAATCGTAGACTTTTTTAACGTAGACTAATTAATCGTACAAATCAATAAAAAAAATATAACTTAGCAAATAGACCATTTTGTTTCCATTCAAAAAATTATAATTTTACGTGTTGTGGCAGAAAAGAAAAAAGTTTCTAATCAAGCTAAACATATTTGTGTAAGAAAATAAACATTTTGTTAAAAGGAAAAAAAACCTGTGCCCAGAGTAGCCTTAAGGATTATTCATCCTTCAACTTTTATGATAACGACCTTTAAACATGCTTTAATTGTTGTATGCAAAATAAAATATATTAAACATTGAAATAAAAATAAATCTCAACCGTCTAGATGATAGAATCGAAATTAATGCATCACCACCTCCTTATTAATCAAAATATTATAAAAACTTGGCAATCAAATTTGAGTTTTCTATATATGGCAGCTCTGTTGTACTGACAGAAATACTGGCCAAGGTTTAAATTAGCTTCCAGTTTGACCAAGCCAGCAGGCATATGCCTTTTTGTAAAATTAAATTATTTAATATTTTCAATAGTTTAACATTGTTTGAAGTTTATGATTCTCATTCCAAATAAATCATTGAAGGATGAAATAATTATGGCTGGTAATGGCGGTAAATCTTATGCTGAAAAAAACAAAACTAAATAAACGAAGGGACATTGACAAAATTGAACATGGTCGGGCTAAAGGTAAGTTTTGACTCCAGAACCTAGTTGACATTACAGAAACAAGGATTACTATATGCAGATATTGTAAACCATCTACTTTTAATAGAAGTATATATATATATATTTAATAAAATATATATTATATATTTGGAATATAATACAGTAATGTAGAGGCTAGACAGCTATGTGAAAACAAATTATTTTTCATTGATATATTTTTAAATCCAGTGTTAATTGAATCAAATTACTAACCTAGCAAATAACTCAAGTAAATATAGTAAATGTATGCAAATTTATAGGAGCACTAAATTTAATAAAACATTTAGAAAACAGTCGTTGGAGTCCACAGAGCAATGTATCCTACCAAAAGGTTTGCTTCGTTAAATATTTTTACGGCCTCAATAATTTATGTTTATGTTCGCCATTCTTCACGTGTGACAGATATAATTTGGGAACTCAGGCCAAAATACACGAGGGAGATAATTATACAGCCGTTGACCTACATTTTAATTCAATTAAAATCAGTTCATCGATTTTAATTAAATTGATATTTGTAAAAAGCTAATAATGTTGCTGCCAGCATCCATAAGAAAATATTTTTACTACTTTTAATATGTTAAGGTTTCAATAAATTAGGTTAACTAACTGCAGTCTATTGATTTGTATATATTTTATTTTGTGTACAAATGTTCTGAGTATGATCCAATTAGGCTATTTAGGGCTATCTTAAGTTACTAGAGTACAATTAATATTTTTTTTGCAATTAGTAATTTACAAATATAAAAATATATTTTTCTAAAAAAAAACTGATTTAATCATGTTATTCTTAGGTAAATGTATGAACTATGGTCCTGAAGATGTGGTGATTATGTGGACAAAGGGTAAAATGTACATTGAGCTTCGTAATCGCTAACTTCAAGGACCTGTCGACCAAAAGGTAAACTGGTATTATTTAATTGTTCTTATAACTGAGCATACTTCAAATATTTAAATATTTTGTTCTTCTGTGTTATATAATCCATAATGTTAAAATTACTAGATTAGAGGTTTAATAGTGTCATCATTAATTAATAGTTTTAAAGTCCACCGGTAGAAAATCGTATTCAGAAATTGAAATTTTGGAAATTTTGGAGTTGTTATGTTTAATTTTAGTTACGTATACAGTGTATGCTACAAGCACGTATACTTATTTTTAAAGTATCTTAATTTTTACGTGGTTAGTTTTAATGTCACATTCAAAATATTTCTAATACATGCACATGAATAAACATCTGTTATTACACTCCTTCTAAACTCATTACATTTGATTAACAGTTGATAATAACCAATACATTTGATAATAAGACCTATTTGATTTACATTAAAAACAATTTTAAACTAATTTATTTACAAATACACGTATCTATATATTAATAGGCAAGCATGTTTCTTTAAAACATTTTTTCTCAGCTTGTGTTCATAGCAGGGGAAACCTACGCATGCTGCTAGAAAGATATTTTCCTGTAGATGTGCAGAATACCTTTATAAATTTAAATAGGCTAAAAAATAAGCACAAAGATGAGGTTTCAATTTGAAAAAAATTAACATTGGTCTTATGGGTTGCCATGCTGGTGAAGAAATTACAACGAAATATAAACAGAAAATCAAAACAAACAAATGAAATAAATTCCAATCACATTTTTTATTTACATTGTGGGGTGGAAATTGAGAAGTCTGTACATTACATATTTTTGGTCGAGTTTTTGACCACTGGACGACCTCTTGTTTCAATAAAAAAAACCTCTATCTTTTTTAACTGGGAACCAAACAAAACAATATCATGACAGAAAAATCAGAAGATCTAATATGAGTTAATTTAAAACAGTCTCATAGATCAGGAATATATATAAATTTTTAATTACCTACAAACCTAGAACAGGAAACTGTTACAAAGTATTATAAAAATTACAAAAATATCAACAGTAATGTAAAGTAATGTACAGTATAATATAAATGCTTTCCTAATGCTATATTAGATAGTAAAAAGGGTTGCCAAAATCATATTATAATTAATGGATATTTAGTGAATAATTAGCACAATTATTAGAGTATTAATTAAATATTATAGCAATCGCTAGCGCAGTTCTAAAATAAAAATATACTATAAAAAATAAAAGAGTTACATCCAAGAAGGGTTTGTTTGAGACAGACAGAGGTCAGTGGGTCAATATTTAACCACAAACACAATCCCTGAGGTTTACAAACCAAGCCGGACCAAAGTCCCTAGTGTATTCATAGGACAATATTCATTCAACAGAGTATTCTAATACATTTAATACTTTACCCAATGCCTAATTGACTTCATAAGAATTCATTGATTTACTAAGCGTATAAGTACTATCAACAATGCAAGAAGTGAATAATTTAAACAAAAATAAAATTAATCTTATCCTGTGTTGTAGGTAAAGTTTGTAGGTGAAGTTTACATTCAGACGAAATAAATCAAAATAAATAAATCAAAATATCTCAATGAGAATTGGATAAAAATAAAGAAAGGTCATAGAAAGAAAGCTTAAAATCTTCAAAATATTATCTAATACTAAAATTTGGCTTCTTGCATTTTTTTGAAACCTATACAATCCATTGAATCTTTATCTAATACATGTCAATCTACAGTTTTTCTTACAGTAATCCCCTTAGTTTGACGCCCAATGCACTTTAAAATGTATTACAAAATATTTTTTTTAATTTAGCATAGACAAATTATGGTAAATTGGAATTTTAGTAGTATAAACACACTTACTCTAACTTTTCTTTTATTAGAAGGAAATTTCACCAGCACATTAATTTATTGTAAAGTCGAAAAGTCTTCTATCTGAGAAGTTAATTGGTATAAAACAGTTTTTAAACTGTTTTAAATATTTTTTGCTGTACAGATTAGCAACGTTGACTCATTTTACTTGTTGATTGTGAAGGATAGAAGCTAAACCATGTTTCACAAAGCTGAAGTACTCTGCAAACACTCAGGATGGAAAACCAGATGAGCCTATTGGACGGTACACAGCTTTGTTACTTTACATGTAAATTAGGAGTTGGTCTTTAAATTATCTTCTGAAATCGCACGTGTTGTTGGTAAAACTTTGACTTAAAAATAGATGCTTGTAGATGTATTTTGAACAATGTTTATGTACTAGTAATTTTCCCTTTATTTGAGTACAAGTCAAATGTTAACTATATTTACTGTAACATAAACTAAAATGTGCTACAGTGTATATTGAACACAATATACCCAATAATAGCGTTAACATAGTATTTTGTTTAAAATGAGTTTAATCTATAGCAGCGACAAATACACAACAAGATTCATTATAAAAACAAAACTAACTTTTACACAAGTGATAAATAATTCGAATATATTTACATGGTTAACTATGTTTTAGCGAGAAATTTTTGTATGGTTACACGAATTTATTAAATTAGGAAACTAAAACAATTAGAATAATTGTAACGGTAATGCAAAGAAAACCCCCATAGGACAAGAAAATAAGGGCTCTATTATGGAATCCGTTGATTAGTTTTCCTTCTCCTAGTTTATTCGACAAAAGACACTACCTTACATTCGGTCAACTGTTTTATATAGTGCAATTTAAATTTTACTATTCGGATCATGAAGATGTATCAAGCGATTGATAATAAATTAATTGTTCATATTTAAATCTCTTTTATACACCGTTGTAATCAACTGAAATAGCTTGTCCGTAAAACAAACTTAAATAAATCAACATTGATATTTCAACAACCTCCTTTGTTTGGTCAGTGATTAGGTAGGGTCAGGTACGATCTAGATAGCAATTAGGTAGGATCAGGTAGGATCTTGGTAGCAATTAGATAAGAATAGGTATTAATTAGGTAGGATCAGGTAGAATATAGATAGCAATTAGGTAGGATCAGGTAAAATAAAGACAGCAAATAGGTAGTATCAGGTACGATTTAGATAGCAATTAGGTAGGATCAGGTAGCAATTAGGTAGGATTAGGTAGAATCTAGGTAGCATTGGGTAGGAACAGGTAGAATATAGATAGTAAATAGGTATGATCAGGTAGAATCTAGGTGGCAATTAGTTATGACAAGGTAGAATCTAGGTGGCAATTAGTTATGACAAGGTAGAATCTAGGTGGCAATTAGGTAGGGTCATGTCAGTTATCGTTAAACGATTTGATCACGGGAGTTTTTGCTGATGAATTGACCCTGACATGTGTCACGTGTATGGTGACCGAAGTGAGATCGATATCACTTTGATTAATCCGTTTGATTAATTCCGGTTTTAAACTAATGTTAAGGTTATTTAGGTTAGTAAGGTTAAAGTTATTTCGCCAAGGTTAAGGCTAGTTCGGTTACTAAGGTTAACCTTAGTTAGGTTAAGGTTATTTTACTAAGGTTAGTTAGGGTATTATAAGGTACACTACACATAATATTGATGAATATTGAAATATAATTAATTATATATCCTTATAACATTGAAACATAATATAAAATCATAATTAAAAGGTAAAGGTTAGTTAGCTTAGTAAGGCAGATCTATTTAATAATATACCATCCAAATTTACGCAAACAGGTGCCGTTATGACATCTTCTATATACAGTTTTAAATGTTGCCGTACTATTTCATTTATTTACGAATCAACTTTTTTTTATGTAAATAAAGAACATTTTCCCTATGAACCTGGAGCAAAAAAACTTTGTTTCGTTTCAAACGTTTTGTAAACATAAGAGAAGCGTTGTCATTATAGATATTTTTAAATTGAACAATTTATTTAAAACTTTAAAAGTATCTGTATAATAAATTGATTTACTTCGTGACTTGTTTTCAGTATGTGATAAGATTGAAAATTGCTTAGCAAAACGGTTTTAGGTTTATATTTTTACTACAAACATCCATCCAATGAATTAGATAAAAAATTACATTAATAGGATGCATATAATAAATAAAATCAATGAAATAGTTTATAAATATGATAAAAGGTATACAAAATTTTCAATTTATTAATGGCTAAAATGTTTAGTAATCGTTTTTAGTGAAAGTAGCTAACGATTAATAATCTTTTAACAGACTACCTTAGGCACAAAACCGTCTGTCTGAAACATTCAACTCCGAGATCTGTCGAGTGCAGCTGGCGCTTGAATCCATTTATAAAAGATTTAATTTAAAATGTTCTCAAACACTATGAGTTCTAATAAAAATGTAATTAAAAAACTATTGAAAATTTAGAGATATGGGTGTAACAAAAATTTTGTAAGTTAAATTTGTGTATTGTCCTTTTGGGAAGAAAAATATCTTTTGTGGGTAGGCCAGAGCTAAATGTGGAACAGTCTTCTTGATAAAAAATATTATTTTAATCACTTAATATTGATATAAGAGCGTTAACGCTTAGGACAAACCGTTTTCTATTGTAAATGATTAGTACATTCTCTGCTATAATGCTAATTAACTTATAATCAGTCAATATTGCGTAATTGTTTACTATTGGTATTTGCTCGTAGTTTTACTGGACTGTTTCTATTGACTCAGCCACAGTACATACTCTCATTGGATAACTATATTGATTTGACTCGATATTGTTATCAAAATAAAATTCTCTTTGTGTGGCATCCTGTGTTAATAGGTTAACTGTGTATATATGTTACACTCAATCTCCGAATTCGGACAATGTCCGAAATTTCTACCCACTCCGCGATGTGGACAGTGTGAAATACCCACGTCGCGGAGTGAGCATTTTATTTCGGACATTGGCCGAAACGAAATGCCCAGACCGCGTTGTGGGTAAACTGATTTACTCAAACGCCGAAGTCAAAACCTTCTTCGGCGATTGAGCAAATTCAAAATACCCACAACGCGAAGTGAGCAAAAGTGATTGCCCACGTCGGTTAGTGGGTATTTCTAGTTTGCGCAAACGCCGA